ACACTTAAGACGTGTACATCCCTTCAGAGACCCTGGTAAGAGACCACGTTGAAACAACTGGTCAATATCTTTCACGTAGCGAAACATACGTCCCCAGCTCGGCGAAAAAAGCATGTCTTGATAATTCACTGGCACTTTTATATTTTCTCTATATTTGTCTATATTCTTTATTMTTATTCTGTAAATATGTACAAGGAAAAGTATGAAATTACAAGAGCATTATTTACATTTATTTCTATTATGAAAAGTACGACTTTTATGGTTTTCCAGCTCTAAGTCCTTGTACAAATCTTCGTTAAAATGGGGAGCCAATGCATACTGCGGTGCAGCTTTATTTTTGACGTGGTGCTGCTGTCATCAAATTTTTTTTGAGAAAGGTCACTTAGATGGTCAAGAGGAGCGATTGCGCTATGGTGAGCCGCAAATAGGCAAAGCGCTGCATCCTGTTCAACAGTTTTGACTGGCAATTGCACAAAAGGAATTTTATTTTTTTGCACAAAGCCCTCCATTGAACTCGCGCGCTTTTTTATTGCACCGTGTGCACGTAAATCGCTCAACTTTGCCGTAATGTTGCACTTACAATAGCTGCAATACGCCCGAGTTGTGTCTGTGGGATATTTTCTCAACCACTCTTTAAATTCGCTGCTTTGCAGCCAGACATCTCTAACTTTTTGCTTATAAGCTTCTTTCGGCATCTTGCTCTTTGTCGTTTGCAGACTTATTTAAGCACTATGCAAGAGATGGAAGATTCGCTTATCGATGGAAGATTAGGTGGGAATTTTTTAAGGGGAATTACTCGATAAAAGTAAATATCGATAGAAATTTATTTTCAACACTTTAATCATCAAACACGACGTAAATGAGACAATGCAAAAAAAACAGTTCGAATTTACTAAAAAAGCTAGAATTTCCGATGCCCGCTGTTTTTGAATTCTTCCCGCAATCTTACTGCCAAAAAAGCCAAATCTGACGGGGAAAAAGCGGAAATGACATCACTGGTCCTAATGGAGTAGTCGTGATTAGAGGCTTCTTACCTGTTTTAATTTTCTGCCTTTGTTTCCGTATTTTACGAACATTTTTTTTTTTTCCAAAATAAAATTGACATCACTGGTTGTATTATTAAATAGCAGTTTATATAGTGTTAGGAAAATATATACAAATATATATATACATCAAAATCAAATATTAACATAAACACATCGTCATCATATCCATCAGCCCTGTAAATTAAAATTATACAAGTTATTTTGATAGAGAATTCTGATGCTACGCTATTTCCGATGTGTATACGCCTAATGTAAATGGAAGCACGGTGATATCGTGTTATATTAACGATAATTTATCGATATATATAGAGCTTCGTTGCTAATTAAAGACTAATATACTCTTCACATGTAACCCGTATTTGGGTAACGCTCATCTCAGGTTTACATACACATCACTTGCATTCATACACTATATGTGAGTGCCAACACAACTATTAATATTTTAAAATTCTTAAAAGTCATAAGGGCTTAATTTCGAGTTGTGGAGTTTATTTAAGCTTTGAAAGCTAATTTAAATACCGTTTATTGAAATGAGCTTTAAGGAATTAAACAGACAAATAGACATGTGGGATAAGTACATTTTTATATGGGAGGGTGTATGTATTTGTATAGTCGTGTATAGATGTGTGCCACGGTGCTAATTGTAGTCTTTGGAAAGGACTGCCAACTCGTTAGAACTAAACAAAGACCTAAATAACGACATAAAGTGCAAGAAAAGTACTATATTTGGTCAACATAAAAATTTTGGACTATATGTACACATAGTTACCAAGTGCAAGATTAGTTCTGAATATAAAGTCATTATATTTCAAATAGGTGAAAAAAATAGACATTGATATATAATAGTAGTTGTAAGATGGCTAAGCAAAGTTTTGTAGATTAAATGAGGTCTCCTTACCTTGTAAATTTCGTGTGCAATAATATAATATGCACCCCGCTCTTTATAGGTTATGTTTCCTTGTTCTTATTCCGCTTGTTATTCCATTTTTTCGCACACATGCACACGTTTATTAAAAAAAAATAATATGTAATAATACGTATAATTTGGAATCTTTGTATAACAAATTTTTAACTTTCACTACTTCGTAAATATACATATAAATATATACATATATATATATATATATGTATGTATATGTACGAAGTAGTGGAAGCTAAAATTTTGGAAGTTTATAATTCGATTTAGTATACAAAGATTCAAAATCGCAATCGAACTAGTCAAAACGATAGCGCGTGTGTTTCCTAGCCAATGCTGATGGCTCAAATGTATTTAACATTTCAGCGACAGACTTTTAAAGGAATCAAAACTCAAGAGTTGCCGAAAATGACAGACTCAATGAAATTCGGACCGGAGTGGTTGCGCAATATGTCGGCGGAGCCCTCGAACATTGGAGCCACTACGGGCGGCGGGCCAAACAGTGGTCTATCATTACACAGCCTCGGTGGTGGTAGTGGCGGAGGAGCTGGCGTTAGCGGTGGAGTCAATATGCTGGCCAATCCAAGCCATACAGCTGCCAATCGTAATATGTTTCCGGAGTACCGCTACGGTCGGGAGGAGATGTTATCGTTATTTGATCGAAATTGCCTTCTGCCTCAGATTCTGCCATCGTTCAAAAAGCTGTTTATTGAAAAAGTTCAGTATCCGCTTGCTCTAACGCCGAGCTCTGAAGAGGAATTAAATAGCCAAAGCCAGTTGAGCAGTAGCGTAAGTGTAAAGGAAATAAATGTGCGTTGTCCAGTTGAAGTATTAAATGAAAAATAATGTTCCACAGTCACGCCCCGCCTGGTTACAGCGTTCACCGGGAGCGTTTGGTGTAGCATCTCGAGGCTCAGGTCGAGGTGGAATGGTAGATCGTGGCCGTATGCGAGGGAAATCTGTTTATCACTCAATATACCAGAGACCAAGCACCATTTACGATGACAGCATCTCGGCTATATCAATGAAGGTAAAGCGCAATAATTTACCAGCTGCTGTGACTACTGATTTTCTAACCGTATATTGTATGCGATACTTGCAGCCAGATCGAAACTGGAGCGAGCGGAATGGTACTGGGGATTCAGCGGCTATCGGTGCCGCCACTGGAGCTAGTGGTGGCAGCGTTGGCGTTGGTGGGGGCCCCGGAGTGGACTGGAATGGTACACCGAGCTCTAGTCCACGGAAGGACTTCTCAAGTCAATGCCGAAACATGGAAAATTGGCGCAGAAGCCGAAACGAAGACGGCTCTGGCGACGGACCAAATTCAGGCGGAACAGTTGGCACGGAAGTAGCTGGGTGGCGCAGTGCAGGCGCCCATCGGTGGGGTAAGCCTAAATAAATTAATAGCCAATAAACATTTTCATCCTCACATTAAACTATTTTAAATTTAAGGACGTTCAACCAGCTGGCGTGAAGAGGAACCAATACAATCTGGGAATATGGATGGCAATTCCTTCGTTGGCAATCCGGGCATAGCTAATGTACAACGATCCATTTCGGTAATTGGAACAGTATCTAATGAGCGGACGAGCGCCGTTAAATCACAGATTGCATCAGCTGGGCCAGGCGGACTAAGCTCTAATCGTCTGATTGGCTCCAAAGCAAACCAGCCGTGGCCTGAAAGCGGTTGCTTAACAAATCCCGATGGTGAGGATAATTTGCCGGAATGGGCAATGGAGAATCCTTCGGAAATGGGTGGCACATTCGATTCTAGTGGTGCTTTCCATGGCGAATCGATAGGTACAGAATCAGACAAGAAAAATTGTAGCGACTCGACACATAAAAAGGACATGGATGAAAGTGATTCCAATATCTTTGCAGAAGCTACCTCGATAGAAAGTGGGCAATTAATTCAAACCGATAATCGTACTGAGCAGGGAAGGGCAGCGGTTATTGAAGCGCAATCTGTATCAACAACGAATACCACCCTAAGCAATGCCACTAATACAAACGAATCCGCTATCACCAACAACAGCAGTAGTAACGAATTAGACGTAAGATCGGACACAGCTGAATCAACGCCCACACACCAAACAGAGGCAATTGGTCACGGTGATATTTCGGAACGCTTCAAAGAGGTAGCCGATGAGGTTGAGAAACTAATAATGGACGATGATAGTGGTCAAGTTGATGACATAAATAGCAGTAAAACAAATATTGTAGGTGATAGCAATAGGTATGGAATGGTGGGATCAATTGTTGAGCCCGGTCAACTTCATCACCAACTCGTTGCTTCAGACTCAGCATCGACTACAATCATTGCCACTGAATTGTCCCATAAACCGTTCAACGAGCAGCTTTCCATACAGCAACAACAACAACAGCATCATTTACAACAGAATCATCTGCAACCACACCATATACCCGTGCTCCCGCATGTGATGAGTGCAAGTCCGAACGAATTATGGTTCTATCGCGATCCACAGTCGAATGTACAGGGTCCGTTTAGTGCCATTGAGATGACCGAATGGTATCGTGCCGGATACTTTAATGAGAATCTCTATGTACGCCGCATTTCGGACACTCGTTTTAGGCCACTTGGTGACCTGATTAAGCTATGTCATGGCAATATGCCGTTTACGCACAACCATCTTTTACCCACACCCATTGAGTTGGATAATTTACAAATTAA